CTAGCCGAAAATTACATCTTCCTCGTTTTTGGACTGTTTGCGTTTGTTTCTTCCGCAGTTTCACTCGATACAACCGAGCCCGTCATTACGAATTGTCCTCCAGACGTGTACGCAAACACCGATTTCATGATGAACACGGGAGTTGTTAGTTGGAGTGAGCCGACGGCGACGGATGACTCTGGAGTTACCCCATCTTTAACCGCTGATTGGAGTTCTGGGTCACTGTTTCCGATTGGCGTAACCACCGTCACGTATACTGCGACGGACGCGTCGTCAAACACCGCACTATGCACGTTCGTCGTCACGGTTACAGGTGAGCTTCTCTATAATCCTCTCTCGTAGATGTATATGGTTCAAAGAAATGTGCATTCCCCAAATCGCACGCTACAGTTTGCTGAATTCATATAGTGGGTCCAAGGTTCCCGCAAATAAAAATAGCCATTACCCTACACTGTTACGATTTAACGAAACGTTAATTCTAATTCTGAGTGATGCAGCAGTTTTTGGAACAAGCATTTCTATTAGGTTACACTATGGTACGTTACGCTATTTTACATTCAATTACATTCATTTTGTGTTTCAGTACATTATGTATCAAACGCGTTTTAATTTAACTTGTCAACTAATTAACACCGCTTTCAAATTATTTTCCATCATCTGTGGCAACGTATTAAAACATCACAGATGTAACAAGCGATCTCTAATCAGATACAAATATTTGTCTCTGCTCATTTTTTTGCTTTTTACCAGATATCGAGGTGCCATTCGTTGCTTGTCCGGACAATATTGAACCGCCGCTAGTGACTGATGCATCAACGGCGTTTGTGTCCTGGAGTCCGCCAACAGCCACCGATAACTCCTTAGCCGTATTGACCGAATCGACCAACTACGCTACCCCGTCAGGATGGTTCCCTATCGGCACTACGACAGTGTATTACAATTTCACGGATCCCTCCGATAACACCGCATCCTGTGCTTTTCAAATCACGGTTATAGGTACAGAGTAACGTTTTCTTGTCGTGGTTTTTGTTTTCAATGAAATAGCTGCAATGTGGCAATAGTTTAAAGTGGGAAGCAGGGAATTATTTCATCGTGATTTGCATGTGTTTGTATCGCTGATAAATTTGATGGAATGCAAGCTCAAATAACTATAAATATACTCTTACTTTTTCCCCTTTTTTGTATTTGTTATCAGATCTCCAGAGGCCGAAGATAACGTATTGTCCTTCTGACATCGTTGGACAAACCGGAGACTCGTCAATAGAGGTGAGCTGGACGGTACCTACAGCTACCGACAACTCTGGCGAAGTTCCAGCCATCACGTCGAATCACGACCCACCGTACGATTGCCCACTAGGCGTGACAAATGTAGAGTATATTTTTTCGGATGGATCAGGGAACACGATAGCTTGCAGTTTCACCGTCACTGTGGATGGTAATCTCATCAGTTTTTTTTTTTTTTTTTTTGAGATTATATTGAATATACATCGAACTGCAAAAAATTGCGAGGATTAGATTATAATCAAAGCCATTCATTCACTTTCCTGTTCTGTGACTTCTAATCTCGTTTCAACAACAAAATTTAATAAGATTCATAAATACTAATCGATTCATTTAATACCATATGTCTACTTTTCAAGAGAACTCTCACACAGTATACATGAAACAACTGTACTGTTTTTACATCTAGATATCGGACCTCCAACAGTGACAAATTGTCCTGATGATATCACAGAGGCGACTTCCTCCAGTAAAACCATCGCCGTGACTTGGTCAGAGCCATCCGCTACTGACAACTCCGGTATTCCAGTCACCGTGGAGAGAACCAACATCCCGGGTGACGCATTTCCAGTTGGCATGACAACAGTAACCTATACATTTACAGACGCTTCCTCGAATTTCGCGAAATGTAATTTCGTTGTCACGGTAGAAGGTAAGCTGCTAATAAAATCAACAGTTGCGTTTTATGGTCTGCGTTACTAAGTAAACATGCTGCTCGATTCCAAATTCCGGAGTTTTACGTTGCCCGGTGTTCTTAACCCCCGATGCGCAAATGAGAGGCGGTTTCCTTAAATACATACCACAATGTCTGTGTTGGACAATTCTAGGTAAGCGCCGTATTTCCGGCATTATATTTAAATGCAGAAATATATAGACGCATAAAAACGAAATAATATATATATATATAAGTGACCTGTGTTATAATCTTAGTAGCTTTTACGGATTGACTGCACAACCATAAAAGACTCGTGTCACGCGTGACAAACACGTGCGATTTACAACGAAGTATAGTTAATTAAAAAAAATAATGCGTCATATTAAAAATTGTTATAAATATTCACAATTGTATGTAAAATAAACACTATGTTTAGAAAGACCGTGATATACCGTAATATATTCTGGTTATTTTTATTATTAATATCATTTCTTGAAAGATTCTTTAATGACGACTACCGAAGTCATTGCGGATAATGCATCTGACAACACTCAACCGACGTCGACGCTATTTCCTGTACTGTGCATTACAGGTGATATGGTAAGGATAACTCTCGAGCTTTATAAACAACTGGAAAAATGGAATAATATTTAAAAACATGCCGAGTTACTAGATACCAAATGGTTTGGATTGTTCTTTGTTCGTTTATTTTATGGTTCACTCGTTAAAAACAGTAGTAATTGGGAGAATGAAATCGAAACGCGATAGTGCGTTGGAAACAACTGTTTCTCGTTAGATGTTGCCATATTACACATTTACAAGGACGTGACTGGTGTTCATGATAATGGTCAAGTGGGTAAAGGAGATGATTTATTTTCAAAAGCCGTATTCAGTTAATATGCATTTCCTCATTGCGTTTAACGTTCCCAAATTTAAGTAAATATACACGAGTGATATAATCAGTGGGGTTTGTCTTCCTATTTTTCAGTGTGATACGTCATTAACAATTGAAGAAGTCGAACGAATGTCTAGCGTGGATGACTCGGAATTGACGAGCAACTCGTTGTTATTGATATCACGGTGGATGCTCGAAAACAACGCCTCTTCACTGGACGTCGCGAACGAGACATATTTTACAGTACGTACTAACAATTACGTCATTGTAGCTGTTCAAGTTGCGGCCGCGTCCGCTTTTTAGGATTAATTGACGCGGCTTGAGCAGCCTGTTTTGCCAATTTTGTTCGTATTTTTGGCTGTAAATTTCATGTCATGTGACATATATTTATAATCGTTGTTTATTGTCGAAACGAAGAGGAATTTCTAGTTGTTGTTTCTGATTTGCATATAGTTATAGTTACATATAACATTAATTAAATTTAACATCACGGGGATGTGTACTTGTATAAAAAAAAATCAGAGAGGAAATGGTAAACGACTCTGATGACGTGTCTAAAATTGAACGGACTCCCGCAACAATCATGACTCATCCGTAATATAATGTATAATTCCAATTTTACTCAACCCGCATTCATCTTTGTTTTGTTCTTTAGCATTATCTGAATATATGCAACAATATTCTGGATGTATCCAAAAAAAACCAGTGGCGGGAAGTTTCCGAGGTATATTATTTGCACTATTGTTTGTTACTCGTTTGACCGCAGAATTGATTTATTGGATGATCTCGAAGTGATTGCAAGTACGATTAATCGACTCATCAGAACAAGCGCGGAAGGACATATATTTTCATTATACGCGTGTTTGAAAATGAACAGTGGGACTTTCCGTATGGCACTCGGAAAGTATAATGGTTTTGCTAAAGCGATTAATCATAGCTATGCAACGTAGTTATACTTATATGGCAACAACAAAGCCGGCATGTTAGTGACGTGTATTGCTTCTGAGCTCACCATACTTAATCGTGTCCCCGTGCGTTGCAAGGTTGGAACGTTTTACGGTAATTCTCCGCCTGCCTTGGCTCATGGCGATATGTATTCATATCATTTGGTGCCACGTTAGGGCTTGGTTAAAACAAATAATTAATTTGTATAATTTTCAGATTTCCCATGGACCCACTACAGTAATGACAACATGTGAGCATATGGCAATTGCGTATGCAAAGGTCGCCGATGAATTTCCTACACACATATACCTGACACGACTAGGTAAGGGGTGAATCAATAATTGTTCTGGACGTTTTGTCTTTCTTTGGAATTGTAGTTTCGCTTGTTTCGCCGAGGAAAACAACTGTGCGTGACGTGACTGGCTTGTGACGTACATGATACGTGTCGTTCTTGTTTTGATGTATCCGGCAACGTGTCATTGACATTATACATCATTTTTCCAACGGCATTAGCAGGGAGGTTAATCTGGATATAAAGTGTCGACTACACAGCCTGCATATGGAATATACGCCGTGAAACTGGTCAAATCATTGACCGTTTGAGGGCGCCAGTAGTATTGTCTTGTTTCTCTTTGCAGTGTGCTATATCGACAGAATAAATGGATCGAGTCTTGCCGGTCACGTATTCGCCGTTCCAGCAGACGATAGTTCTTCGCGTGATTTCATACAAGTTGACCGTGACGCTGAGATTGCAGTGAATCTAGGTAAATCCTAAGAAACCATTATATTTTTAGTTTCAGATAATGGAATTTGTGTATTAATTAGCGGTCACGGTGTGTAATCGAGTAAACCGCCCTCTATTGACCAGTTACTTATACTGTTATATTTGATATATTTCCAGATATTGAGGGCGCTCTGATAAAAACAGTTTTACTCGTATTCAGAGACGGTTCTCTATTCACGGAAAGGTAAACCGATTTTGAAATCAATTTGCTTCATTTCATTTGCCAGGAAGGACTATAACACCGCCATGTGACCTGAGATGGTCTTGTTTATCAGTTTTATCTCGATGACGATCACAAGTCCCTTATTAACCATTAGTTATTGTTACCACTATTGATATTACAGAAATAATCCAACCAGACGACCAAGTAGTCATGTGTTATCATTCTCCGTCCTCGTATCTAATCAAAGCATGTCACTTCCAGTAAACATTGGATTATCAACGCTCCAGGTACCAAATTTAATGTAATGTACTGTGTTATGACGTCATAGTCGTCACTAGGGCAAACGTAAATTGCACAGTTCCGTTATGATAGTTTGCTTCCCGTTATCGTGCGCGTCGAGGTTTTTTTTTGGGGGGGTACCGGTGAAGTGCGCCATTCACGGTAGAACACTGTTTCAGAGGATTTTTAATAATCCGAATAAATCTTTATTGTAAGATGTATTATAAATAAAAATACAAAATGAGCATGCATTTTCATGAAACACGCAATTACTATTTTTTTAATCACAATACACTGTCACGTGAACTAAGGGTCCATTGTATTGTGTGTGTTTTTCAGAACCATCATGATGGACACGAAGTTGATGAAGACGGCTCACTTGACGATAACGAGAGGCACAGGAATGTTACCCCGACGTGCGTATTCTGGAATGAAGGACAGAGGTAATCACTTTGCGAGTTTGAAATAAAACCACCTTCACTTTTCATAATGTTTGCAGTGTAAATGATGTTATGCATGGTAATGGTAGAATAGGTGTTGTATGGTATTCCTATAAAGCGGGAGGGTCGTCACCTGTGCATGCGCGGGAATTGAGTTCCAAGCGACGATAATAACACACACTAAAACCGCAAAGGCTCATGGGTAGCCGCTTGTTTGTAACCAATGACACGCTATGATCATCTGACGCACCCCCCCCCCCGCGCTTTAAATGTATGAATTGTCGGCATCGGTGAAAACGAGAATATCGCACCACGAAAGGCAACGGTGTTTTTTTTAAGATGCTTTGTACACTTCGCATGGGGCCCATATCCAACATGGCACAACACGATGACCACGGCCTATTGCATATCTAGAAAATGTGATCACAGTTTGTCACATATGACTGACTACGTTGAAATTGCTGCCTCCCGAACTCCCGCTTAATGTCGACATGTAGATCTTACACGCAAATGACATCCATAAATAAGTTTATCGTTTGAATACGATACACGTTGAGGGCGACAGAGCAATCAGACTGGTTTTTGCTTGTCCTTTAAATAGTATATCATTCTCTCTCGTCATCACGGTCACTGTTCGCCAAAGATTTGTAACCATGGCATTTGGAACAATGGTAGCGATGACGACAGGCGACAGGGGCAAAAACAAGTCTCGTTCTCAACAAGACTTCGGCGGCTCTACGTGTCCAAAGGCCTAATGACGTGCACGCTTCTTTCGTAGTTCGTTTTTGATTAATTGATTTAAATCACGGATTATATTGGGTACATTTCGTTATAATACCAACTTTTTGTATGTACCGTCTTTTCCCAGAGGTAACAGCCAATTACAAGAAGGATACTGGTCCGAGTATGGTTGCCAGGTTACTAACACGCTTCCTAACTATACTTGGTGTGCATGTAACCACACAACGAGCTTCGCCATCCTTATGCAAGTGACAGAAATCGAGGTGATTATATTAGGGTTACTTAGACATGATCATGATTTGACACAGCTGCCGTCAACACAAATTGTTGGCTCCTACTAACGGAATTACAGTGTACAAGACAACGGCGAAAATAACATACACAAATTTGTGATGGATAGTGAGTGAATTAACGGATCCTGGCTGTTTCGTGACCCCCCAAATCATCTAAGGAATGAGAGTAACCTAATCCCAGTCGTGCGTTTAAATTTACGAGTTATCGATCAATCACAACAGGGTAGCATGATGGGAAAAGTTATTATTTCTGCCTTCAGCCCCTAGCAAAAAATTATTATAAATAACTGCGACAAACCTCAAAGGAAATTATTAAAGTGATGTATGATGCTACTTTGCTAATATGTTATAATTGGAGCTTTGGTTGAGTGAACACTGTAATGCAAGTTAGCTTAAATGTACACACCATGACAGTTACAACAACATAAAGGAGAATGTGTATGATTCTATCTTGCTTGCAACTTCACGTGTTTGTTATGTTTAAATATCGCTAATTTATATTTTTCTCAGATAAGCGAAGAGCACGAGCTAGCACTGACAGTGATAACTTACATTGGGTGCGCCATATCGTTGGCTGCTTTGGCTATTACGTTGTCTGTTCTCATGTGTTTTGCGTAAGTACCATAAAAATCTAGTTTGCACCTCGACAATTAATCGTAATTTAAAAACACATAATGAGAGTTTTGACACGAAGAAAATGCGTTTTGAGCCCTATGTTTTTAACAGACTTGTACAATGCTCTGCCATTAACAGTCCTGATTAGCGGTATTTCTTTGAGCGTGCGCGAGTATGACGCGGGCGTCTGCATTGTTTATAGACGCAATACATTACAGTGGGTTGTTTACATTGATCTATTACAGCTCCCTGAAGTCGGACCGGATTTCAATTCATAAAAACTTAGTATTTGCACTTCTGGTAGCACAGATACTCTTTATGTCTGGCATCACAGCAACGAGCAACACGGTGAGTGTGTCCGAACATATTGTGAACGTTACCATTATGGTTAAATGAACTTTCACTCAACTTATAACCGAATGGTCGATTCGTTGTCACGTGACAACGACGCGACGTAACGATTTATAACGCATGAGTCCGACTTTATAGACGACGGTCGGAAACACGACGATAGTTATTTAGCAGTACTATTATTATTTGACGGCACACGTTCGTTAGATTTTAATTATCGTGTAATTTTAATTAATTTCCGTATTTTTATGATGAATATTTCAATTCAAGACGAATGTGCGCGTCACTGTATTATAAAGCGGAACGATCGTCTTGCAAGCGTTCGTATTTAATGTTAACAGACAGGCGTTCCACCCTACACCGTCGATTAACCAAGTATTATCTACTATATAGCTTATCAAACAAAATAAACGACTCGACCAATTTTTTTCTCACAGGGAGTATGTAAAACGGTAGCGGTGCTACTCCACTACGTGTTTATGGCGGTGTTTTGCTGGATGCTGGTAGAGGGCATTCACCTTTACAGTAAAGTGGTGCAAGTATTCGGCAACTGGGAAGATAAACTGAAATATTATTGTGCAATAGGGTGGGGTGAGTATCTTCTGTACGAATTAAGTTTTATTTTCATCCGTACGTACAGAAAATCGATTCTCTTCATTTCAAGAAAGGAACCATTGATTGACAAACAAATGACAACGCTGAAGTAGGGCTTGCCAAAGTTTGCCCTGGATTCATCCGGGAATATCATTTTAGATAAACATCCACATAAAATCTGAACATCTTAACTAATATCTTGTCGTTGATTTCTTATTTACGATATGCACCCACGGTCATTATCGCGATGGTAACATGTTAAATAAAACATATTATGGATAACATAATACATACTTTGAAAATATTTGTTTGTAAGTTATTGAAGTATCTATTTAATTCCGGGTTGTTAATTATTTGAATAACGTCATTGTTGGTGTGCGTTACAAAAAGCTAGATGAAGTCTATCAATCCCAGTTTTCAAAAAAAGTTATAATATACAAGTTCAATGTTTCTAGTATTAATTCTGGTGACCTTGAAATGCGGGGTTAAGAGAGAACTCAATCTCGGAAATAAAAATTGTATAAAATAATAATTATTATTATACATCTGTCACCGTAACGCCATAAGTTACAGCGAGCCGTAATTTTGCGGTATTTTACGGGGTATTTCCATCCTACCATATAAGAAAATGCGAATTTCAAATATGGAATGATTTCGCGCGTAAGCATCCTCTAATAATAAAAAAACAAACATGGCCGCCATCGCGGTTTGACCGGATTCTGTTCAAAACTTTTTGGAAGAAAAAGATGTATAATAATAAGTTATTACGAGAATACCTCAAAGTATGTACTCGGACAGTACGCCTCGCATCGACCTCCACTGCGCGTCGGTCGAAACTCCAGCTGTACTATGTCTTCGTGCATACTTTGAGGTATTCTCGTAATAACCTTCTATTGTAATTATAACTTCTTCAAAACTCGTACTAACACACTTAACTGTGATCTGTTTATTCTCGATCTTTAATTGTTGATGTCCATGAGACAGATTGGTAATGCATTAAGATGATGTATTTGTTGTTTCCTTTCCAGGTGTGCCTGTCATCATGGTCGCGATATCCGCTGCTATCAACTGGGACGGCTACGGTTCCGAAACAAGGTAACGTCGTTTTTGTCACTTGGTTTGTAGTATACTATATTCGGGTTAATATGCTTTGTGATGCTACAGTAATTGTCATTGTCGTGGCTTTCGATATCCAGCTCTCAGCGGAGGATGAAGTTATTAGTATATATCTGTCGCCAGAGGGCGCAGTATGCACGACACTTTATTTTAATTATATTTTAATTGTCTAAACTTTTCTTGTAGTTGTTGGTTAACCATTGAGGGAAACATGGTATGGGCGTTTGCTGGACCTGCGGCTGTAATTATTTTAGTAAGTTTGGAATAGGATGGGCCTCAAGCTTGTTTCTAAACTTTCTATTTTGTGGTGGTTTGCCAGTTCCGTCTAGTACGTATACGTTTTACTGTCAATAATGGGACGTTTACTATTTTGTATAATAGTACACAGTAAAAGTAACATAGAATTAATTACAAATTTAGTATAATTACCATGCTATGCTCCTTTTTTGACATTTTTTTCTTACGAGAACTGTTATAAATTAGTTATGATATTCACTATATTTTTCAGGTTAACCTCATTATTCTAGCTATGGTATTACGAATCATTGTTATGTCAGCTTCTGTAAATAAAGAAAGGGAATTCGACCATATAAAGTGAGTTTATGTGTAAATATTCTTTAATTTGTTGTTTTGAAAAATTACACTTTGTTAGAGATAGTTAAACTAGAGGAAGTTTCAGATACCACGTGCGAACTTTAGATGGCGGTGCCATTAAAGCAGGGAGTCGTCACCTGCGCATGCGTCAGATGGCCTTTGTGTTATTAGCGTGTGTTATCGTCGCTTGGGACTCAATTCCCGCACGTGCGAAGGTGATGACCCTCCCGCCTTAATATTCATTGTGGAAACATGTGAAGCGTGTTTATGTTATGCTTATTTTTATTTGTGATATTTCAGGGCTGGAATAAAAGGTGCACTAGTACTGTTGCCGCTTCTTGGTTTAACGTGGATATTTGGGTTGCTTTCCATTAACGGTGACCTCATTGTATTTCAATATCTCTTCGCCATATTTAATTCACTACAGGTGAGAAAAGTGTTCAAGGTTATACCTCGCTGTACGTTAAACATTCGCTTCATTTAAGGCGATGAAACATTTTGCCTATCTTGTGTATTTTTCTTCAATGTAACTTTACAAATGTACATAACTTCATGTATGCTACAGGTTTAGGTCAATTTTTAGGAAAAAAAATTAAAAAAATTACATTGCTTTCATTCAGTGTAAGTTGACTTTGGCGCTGTTATGTTGTGCATCATTTTTTTATTATTATTTTTCCACTAAAATTCCGTTAATGCTCTTTAATGCAATATTAGTAGTACATTTAATTACATACTGTAAAACATGTTGAAAAAGCGGCATGAAATTTTAGCGAATTGTGGTAAAATGACGTAATAGCGAAATGTCGATTTAGCGAATCCCTCTTGTCATTTTTGATTTCTTTGTTTGGCGGCCATTTTGAATTGATAATAAAGTCATTAGCGACATCTTGAATTAACGAATCAGTTCTCTCGCTAAATTCGCGAAAAAGACATGCTCGCGAAAAAGACATGTATATCAGAATCTGAAAGTGACAGAAGCACGAGCTCCCATCGCACCATTGTCAAATAGACTGATCAGAAGGAGGCGGACAGAACAGACACAATTTGATTTCGTTACACCCGCAGGTTTGGTGGTAAAACGTTGCGTAGTCTGAAAGTAGGGTGTTAAAATTGACGACTTTTAAATTCGATGTATTTTTTTTTAAATTCCATGGTTCTCAGTTTTCTAAGTATAACTTGCAGTTTAGATAAATACGATATGTAGAAAACGTGATCAAATTAAAATTGTATGTTATTGCAATTGCCAGTTCCATTCCGTTTTATGTGTATTTCATATTGATTATTATTTTTTTTACTTATATTTCTTCACAGGGTTTCTTCATATGTTTATTCCAGTGCCTCTTGAATGGCGAGGTAAAGTAAAAAATACATAAGAAAAAAATCATAATCTCGTGAATAACATTTTAAAATATTGTTTATTTTCTACCGAGTTAATCGTGACACGGTAATATTTTTATTTTCAGGTTAGAGCGGCTATTCGTCGTGCCCGAGAGAAAAGAGCCATCGCCCGTGGAGATCTAAAAAGTACCACTGGAGGCGCTGTTTTTTATAACTCGGTAACTACTTATAAACCACCTTATCGCGTAGACGTTGAAGTTGTAAAATTGTTATGTTACGTAATCTTGACCTAATCAATTGTTTGTTTGTTTTTATTTCAGCCACTATCAATTATTTCAACGCGAAATAAGTCTAGTTCAGATGTGGTTCAAGAAAAACCCGACAAGAAAAAAACTATGACCGAGCTAGACACCTGTTCTAGCAAAGACGGGAGCGGTAATTATATACTAGTAGTAGACGCCATGTTGTAACATATATTAAAGCGCGGTGGTCGACGCGCTGCGCATGTGCGAGATATATGGATCTCATATAAACAAAGATGGCGACTTTGACTCTTGCGCAGATCAACGAGTACGAACTGACACGTTTCCAAGCTTTAATTAAGTAATTTTCATGTTATTGGTAGGTATTGAAGGAGTCACCGGCGGTAATCAGTGCAAGTCGCGCTCAGGTCAAACCTCATACTTGTGATTTCCATTTGAAGAGCGCATTGGATTGTGGGAAAATCAATGTTTATCTCAACACAAATGTCGAACATGCGCAGCGCGACGACTACCGCGCTTTAATATAAGAACATATTGAACACTTTTCTTGGGCGTCGTTACATCTAGTGACAAAGAGCTTCTATGGCGTCCTGTAGTCGTTCGTCATTTTAGAATATATCGACGCTACGCACAAGCTTCCTTTCACCATTGACGTCATGGAAGAGTTTCGGCGCTAGAGGGCGCGACTTTTAGAAAAGCTCACTATTAGCTGTTGCGTAACTTCCTTACAGCTTGTTGAATTTACGAAGTGGAAAAACAAATTATTCATACAGGCCAATGATTTGATAATTTCATATAAGACGATGACTACGACATTGATAATTTTGCGGTATATATTATTTCCTGCATAATTTAATGAGGTATCTCCTACCACGCCCATTAATCAATGTTTGTGTTTATATTATTGTACTTTTTAGTGAAAGACATGCGAAGGCCAGGAGGAAACTCGCACGATGATACAAACAGTGTCAGCAGAGAGTCTTTCGACAAAGTGAGTGAAAATAGTGCGGGTAAATTCTCTACCAGTTTCACTCCCGTTCTTGTACAGGTGGGCATACGACGTAACACATAACGGGATGAAACCCACCGTTTTTAAATCATATATATTTATTCACAAAATCAATGCCCATGCTTTATTGTAGTCGTATCCGTATTTTGCTCTATACACTGATTTGATCAAGCTGCGCGTGACACAGTAACTTCTTTTGATTCATCGTAATGTTCGTTACAACGGCGTTGGGATTTGTGCGGTCATGTCGCAAGACGTGATTCCCATAAGAATGATGCTATGGGTTACTTCTATCACGGGGAAAATTCTCTCTCTGGGGTTCTCCACACGTGTCAGGGGGGAATCTCGTCTCGTCTCTATATCGCGTCCTCTTGAGGTACGGAATCGGGAAAGTCACTTAAACCTTAGAGTCAAATAAGACACACACAACGAAATACGTTTCAACTTTCGTCTTAGTCGATCAGTCGAGCACTCTATAAGACACAGCGCCCTGGGGAAAAATCCCCAAGACTATCGCAAGGCTGACCCACGACTCTGTCCAAGACTGGACTTTAGACTGGACTAGACAGCGTCTATCGTGCTGTACTCGCCAAGACCAACTCAAAACTCTCTTTATTCATTTTCAAAATATTAACCAATTACAAAGCAGTAAAAAGACTCTAGGGCGTAACCTTCAATCATAAAGCCAATCATACTAAGTACTGAATACGTCATATCTTTTGATTAATCGTTCACTACATTAATAACTACGAATACCAACTGTCAGAAATAGTAGTCCGAATAGCGACGGTTATCTCGTAATTAGTTCCAAATCACTGAGCTAAGTTCTGTTCAGAACCTCACATGGCCTAAACGATGCCAGACATAACACAGCAATTCACTCGTAATCAACTAATTAAGTGGGTCAACAGATACGCAAAAACAAATTCATCATACTTCTACGGATCTGCATTCGGTGACGAATCTGTATTGAGTATACATTTTCGCTAAATTGTGCGTCAGGGGTGTATACATTTTCGCATTTTGGCCTTTTCGAAAGAGTTGTGGGTCTTGGGATACAGATGCTATGCTTATATACTAGTAGTACAATCCCCCGGGACAGTTACTACACCACTCGTACACTCTTGGGATAACTGTTAGTAATCAAGCAAATATGTGGTTATGATCTTGCAGGGAAACTTTGTTGTAGTAGATTTTAACTTGTTTTAAAATTATGAATGTATTGCGGTGAAAATATGAATTTTGAAGTATGTAACTGGGCACCGTGACGGGTTAATTCATCGACGTCTCCAGTAGGAAGGCAACTAGACGCAGTTTCGTTCATAACAGTTATTGTTTTTTTTCATTGTACCAGATTGTAATACAGATACTAATCTATGATTGCTTTTCTGTGTGTTTCGTTTTTCCCAGGTCTGTGATGACCAATCATTATTATCACTGAATACCCCGGACTACAACCACGACAGCGGAATAGATCAATGTGAAACCATTTCTTTGACTCCTAAGCTTCGTAACACTGTCATTGATACATAGCAAGGAAAAATGACGTATCCGGAAGCACTGCTGTGGAGTAGCAGTAATTGTGCAAGTCAGTCTCCAAATCTACGTCGACTGTGCTACAGTCACAGTTGGATTAGTGTGCTACCGTGACGATGAATATGGCATATTATCGTATGGAGTCGACTATTAGTCGTATAAGAAGATTGCCCTCAACGGTTGCCCATGTGACGCACTCGTGACAACTCCATTAACAATTTTAACACGATCAACTCTGTGTATGACACACGTGAGCGTTTTGTGTGATATTTACGTAGGCTGCATGGGTCGCTCGCTCCGAATGAAAATACGCACAATATGAATATAACCATTGCAGCCAAGTGTATGCGGGGCCTCAGTTGCTAGGAGTAACAACAAATATATTGAAATATAATAAGAGACCAACATTAAAATACATAAATTGTACACGTTGTGTGGGATCCGTCCACTAAATCCTAACTGCTAGTTTGTATATATGATATTGAAATAGTCACTGCAAGTACGTACTAAGTGTTATTGACATGTATAATATATAATATTTATACATGATATATGATATATGTGTGCACTATTCACACTCAATTGAACGACACCGGCCTACAGTCACATATGATGATTTTAATTGAAAGACCTTTATTTAACATTTTGCGTAGCACAGAAGCGAATCACTTTTAAAACTTCTTTACTGTATATGCCACTGCTGTTATTATAAAATAAATAATATAGTATATAACTCATGCGTCAATAGAAGTTGCTCGAATTTGTTCGAGCATTCGTGATTTCTTTCCTATATGTTGCGCCCTCTAGCGACAAAGCCTGTTTGTTTGCCTGTAAGTGTTAGGACGGAGCTCTGGTAAACAGTGCAGAAATCCATTCCTAGTTTGTTTATTTCGACAAGCCTAGACGTGTGCGTTACACATGAATACACAGGGATGTCAGAGATGTATTATGTGTAACAGAAAATGAGGCAGCACTGCAGATATGATGTGTTTTAAGTGGTCTTATTTGAATAGGTTACGAAGCATACTTAGCTACAACTGCAGCTGATCTGTGTGTAAGATTAACTTGTACAGTTCAATCATTTTAACGGATCACCACTTGCTGATCTGATTCTTCAATCTCCAGTTATATTGCCATGTCTTTGTGGCTGTACCACTAATTATTAGGTCTAGTACTAGTGAATTTCTGCATAAAAACATCTCCGTATGTTAGAACTTACAGGGTTCTGTTCCATCATCACTTTTTCTAGGTACCCGTCTACCCGTCTGAGCAGCGCCGGCTGGATCACCTGTTTGATTTTCTGCTCTCCCTACAGCCTGTTCATCATATAAATTGTCAAATCCTTGAGTTTTTTTTTATTTGTAGAAATGTTGTGTAAGCTTTCGAACTGTATTTTTTACTGGTATATCTTTCGCCTGTAGTACAGTAATGTTAGTGCTCATCCGTACACAGTCACTCTACTGGGAGAGTGACTGTGATATGTACTATAAATATGAAAAGAAGTCTCAATCAGGAGAATATTCAAAATTTCTCCAGCAATGCATATTGATTCGAGCATATCCACCCCTGTGTATTGTGTTGACCCCTTATAATCAGCGTGGCGTAGTTTTTCAATACAGAATCAAATATATCTGTTCAATTTACAGTTCATCGTGTAGAACACTGTGGTCTCGGATTAGAAGTTGAGTGGCGCCATCGTGCATCTACACCCTGAAAACAGACAAGATCGCCTTAGCTGTAATTAATTTCACAACCTCATATCTAATGCATTTTCTCTGACGGGCTACATCTTGCAACCATTGATTTATACAGTGTACTTAGTAGTGTACCCCAAAAGCTAAAAGAACATTAATCCCTATTTGAGTTGCCGTGCTCCGAATACAGTCTTGTTACTAGCACTTAGCTTACGTCCTACCGGATACACCTTGATTAGTATATCATTAACTTGGTCAGTGTATTCTTACACTTGATATCAGGCACATGCAGCCACGTACCCACGTAGGTCTTTGCGAACATTGTACCACCCCCCCACCCCCCATCCACCCGTAACACACAATATTATGCGTGATTTTCTCTGATCACTAGAAAATCACATTCACAAATACGTTGCTAATAGATTTTATTTAAGCCAGCGTTCAATTCCTGGGTTACTTTGTGCTTTTAGGTTATGGGAGTTGTCTGAAATTCCCTTAAATTCCATCATGTCCTCGACAGATTATCCTTGTCTCAACAAATTGCATTGAGTAAAGCTGCATTGGGAGTGTCTATTACCTTTCTGCGTGTAATATCATATTTTCCATTAAAATTACTTGCTTTAAATTTTAAGATTAGTTTTTTACTGTTTTTATGCTGTAATCAACATTTTCTATGTTATCACCGCTGTAATCAACGCATATTGTACCGGGAGCATATAATGCTCACCAACTGAATTCTACTACATGTACCAATGTCATCACTATTGTAGCACTACTGTGTTACTACTGTTTGAATTGTTCCGACGAGATGCAGTGCAAGAGGAAGTGTGTTCAATGTAATCCTGTATGTCAGGGTAAAAAATCGATGTTTCTTGTTTTGTTTCGACTTCAGTTTGTATGACCTTGTTTTCTCAAATATATTTGGTTTTCTATATTCATCTTCATCTGCAAAGTACTGCGCGATAACTTCTCTTGTCACATCACTTGTTATACCATCTACTTCATGAACTTTCTCATTATTACCTGCTGTTATTTGTTCGTCAGTCGCATGTACATGTTTTCTTTTCAACAATGGGTTTCGAACTGGAAGTGGGTTCATTAAACAATGAAACAAGATTAAGCTCAAGACAAGATTAAGCTCAAGACAAGTTCCAGCTCCGTTATCCTTATTTCAATTCTCAGCGCGGCCATGTACATATAATAACCCTACATCACATAATATTTGGGGATGACAGGTCGCATGCAGCGATGTAGTGATTTTAAAAATGTTTGTAATTTTCAGTTATAAATTATGCGATCTTGGCTAGAAAGTACTGTTTGCATCTAATATATATCACAAACACTGAATGCAGAGTCTGTATAACACAATTTATATACGAAATGTATATACCACAATGGTATTGCTCAATCTATATTGGTGTTTGGTATTTTAAAAGGTGTGCCAAATGCACATAATAAAGCTTATATGCATATAATCTTATTTTTCCCGGCTTTATATAAAAAAACACAAATAGTCTTTTGATTGTCATATTTTGTTTTGGAGCTGTGGTTATATTGAAGGTTTACAACTGCATACAGTAGTTCGACCAATCATAGCACTCAGTTTTTCAATTATGACAAGTATTCTCATAAACGTTAAGTGACGTCTTCTACTCGTACTCGTTTAGGTAAACAGTCATTTTTTCTCGTGGCGATTATGGTCATTCTTTGACGCCGCTTCCAGAGAGTTTCCTTGTTTGAACTTGATTCCTTCATTCTGGTTGAGGTTCTTGCGTTTGTGATCATTTAAATTTGGTAACTACTAAAATTTTAATAAACTTCTTGTAAACAAATATTGTCCTGTGTTCGATCCCAAACGATCAGAAATCAACCACCAGACTAGCTTAAATTACTTTTCGGCCAAAAAAAATCACACAAGTTTAGTTTATCACGAAATCTTAATTTTTTCCCTATCCTTCGCAAGAGGACCTTAGGACCTCACCAAAATCTTTAGCAATGATATGGGTTATTTTTTACTTGAAATTAGATTTATTACCATAAGACTTGTCATTTTACTATGGGAATAGTTATGCGACACTTTCAACCCTGTTCCGTATTCAACAATTCTGCAGTTAAGAAGACTATCAGCAGTATGTATATTACACCTCCCCAATGTAATCCACTCAAGGTAATAATTACTTTTATTGGCTATTCTTACGATATAAATTTTGATGTTTTCAGTCACATTTATTCAAGATCAACGGCTACTTCATCCAGTACAACACGTTACAAAGAAATACCAAGAGACAACTTTTATTTTTGGCTTGCACAATTTTATTCATTGTTTCTACAACAAAAAACAAGCATGTGAAGGCAAATTAGATTTGGCTGTCCGAGGGCGCAGTACAAGAGACGACTGTGTGGATACACAAACACTCACAAGACAGCATAATTGAGAAAAAGGCCATGGAAACATTTCTTTTCAAGGTGAACAATAAAATACAGGTAAAATCATGAGAATACATTTCACTCTGCTTCTCAAATTACTGGCTCACAAGAACTGAAATACACCTCACAGAAAAATCAACTCAATCTTACATCTATAAACTACAGATGAATTTAAAATTAATTTGATCTAACCGATGTAAATGCTGCATCAACAAAAAATCAGTTGCTTGGGGGTTTAAAAGAAAAAAGTGAGGAGCGAATATGAATACAATGGTAAGAAATGTTAGAGTTGGAGTTAAGTCTTGGTTAATTAGGCATTTTATTAGATCAACAAGCCACTTTTTTCCCAAAATAGAGATTTTCACTAAATCATGAGACAGTTTTAAGTTTTGGTCAAGAGAATCTTTCAATAGAAAGACCTTTTCTGACAGCCTAACAAGAAACTGTAGTCATTTTGAGGGGGGTTTACAATACAAGAATATTCATTTGTATTTTACTTTTTTCAACTCGTACAACGAAATATTGAGGTAAGAGTGCCCTGATTTAGTTCAGGTTGCTGTTACACATCTCCTCTGTAAGCGAACAAGTATGAAAATTCTGCTAAAGTCTGGCAAGATCAGCCACCAATCAGCAGTTGCAATTCTCCATCGGAACGCTCTAACTGCTTGACAAATGTAAGTTTTTTGTTATAGTCCTTGGGAAGTTGGAGACAACGTATATCAGCAACCGTAATTAAAGACAATCAGAACCTTTACCTACAATAAACTTTATCGGACTGATTTTAAATCACTCATAGGTAAATCAGATTGCAATTAAAAATGCAGAACCCATTAAAAACATTTAAAATGTTCAACTTGGCAATAAGTCCCAGCATGATAGTAAAGCATAATACCGCTCTACCTACAATGCTAATGTACAGTGTTGGGTGGGAGAATCAGTTTATCAGAAAAGCAATTGTATTTGTATCAATTACAATGCAAAGAAAAACAAAATAAATCCAAAACCAATGAAAATAGCACCAGAAATAGAAATGATGACAAATGAATGTGAACTGCTGAAGAAAAATAAATTGTTATAAAGCAACTGACATGTAAATTCAATTCTACATGGATATCATTTTATAAGTAATTCAATCTCATTACAATCCACAAGCAGACTTGACATTCTACTAATTTGAAGGGGAAACGCATAAAGCATCACCCAAATAATTCTCAAAAAAGAAATTTTTAACTAGATTCCATTGTATAGAATTATTTTCTAGAGTAACAAGTTCTGCTACCAAAAATAGATAATAGACTTCATTCCTTTCGTTAGAATAGTAGACAATTGTATAGACTGAAAATGAATAGTATTGAAGTCTTGAAATCGAGAAAAATTTAAATTGAAGTAAAACGATTGGCAAGTACATCTAAGTATGATTACATAATGATTACACAGTACAGTGCGGTGTATGGAAATCTCTGTACCAATCACCTCTGTACTAATTCAATCATTCAGTGTGCCAATTACATTTATAAAGACTGCAACAACAAATAGGGAGAAAAGGAAGATTAATCATCTTGTATTCCTATCCCTTACAATGCATGTACACTGTAGATATAGTTGCATTATTTCCACAAATCAAGGGATAAACTCAGAAATAAAGCTGGAATGGTCCTATAATAGATCAAACTATTGTTATTTTCTTCTTCTCCACACGCACTGCTTCATGAGTAGTAAAATATACTTTTTTTTTCAACAATTATTCTAATCAGAAATGTTATCGATAAAGGAAAATAAATCGCATGATTAAAAACTATTTTAAGCATAAGTCCAGAAAGAACAGTCATACAACATTTTTTTTCACTTAACGCAGCAACTAACTAAAAAGTACAGACCAATAAATGCTCAACTCGCAATCCTAACTCAGTCATTCTTTACTCAAGTCACTCAATCAAAATGAAAGTGAAACCCCTTGAATGAAAAAAAATATCTTAAAATTTTTTGATCATTTTCTCTTGCATTTTTCCATGGAAGAAAGAATTTTACTAGGCAAAGACTTCTGTAAAACCATTCAACACAGTGACACGTCTGCCATACTCTGTAGTAAATTTTACTCTCATGAGAACAACGGGAGGGTGAGAAAGTGTACTGACGATACAATCATCAGTGAGAGTTCTCTTTCACCTTGCCACCATCTCCTTCTGAGACAAACCTTTTGCGTCCCCTGCAAGGAGAAACAAACATTTACTGTAGTTCACTAAAATATACATGTATTCTAATAAGGTTTTCAAGTAAAACTGAAATCTCTAGAATTCACCTAAAACACAAAACATTGTATATGTACTTTGAGCCAATATAATGGTAATGTTATACAACCACGTGTTCCCACAAAAACTGAATACTACCTATCGTGAACAAAGCAATTGCTTTAAGATTTATTAAGATTAAGGCACAGAAAAAAATCAGAGCTGGCAACCCGAATAGGTGATTTTTCGTACAATTGCGAGATCTCATGAGATGCATGAAAGATGTGCGTCGAACGTCTACCCCAAAAATCAAACGATTTTAATTTGAATTTGAACTAGAATTTTCTTTATTTCGTAGCTCACATCGACCGGCCAATCTTCGACAGAGGGATATTGCTTCCGAATGCCCTCACTTAATCAAAATTTCCTATCATCAAATGTGGACAGCACATTATTAAGCATGGAAATGTCCCCCAAAATAATTTTGCGTTTGTCGAATCCCATGCAATGTTTGGCGCCACTACGGCGCTACGACCTTTGTTTGTTCTGTTTTTACGTTCGATTTCACGCATAACGCATGATTCTCGCAGTGGCCCTGTTAAGTGTTTTCTAAGTATAAGCATATAAAATAATTTCACTATTCTGGTTCTCTGTGCATTTGAATCAAAGAAAACAATCTTTTGCAATTGCATCTTATGGAAACAAAGAGAATTTCATACAATAGGTCACATAATCAACACAGAATTGAACAGTCACATTGTATTTTGGATAATAAGCATCATCCATACTAGAAAGATTAGGGATCTTACAGAATTCTATATTTCATCTCTTGTGGTACAAAGATTCCCAAAAACTTACCTGGATGGAACTCTATTTCTCATCTTCTCGGACATTAAACCTTCAACGACACAGAGGTCAGCTAAACGTTCTAATAAAGCATAGGCAGAAGGCACGTCTAAAGATATATCTGGCATGGAATTAAATACTCGTTCAAAACCCTTAACGATAGGAAAATGAAACTAATAAATTAGATTGCTTTGACTCATATGATGTGTATAACGAACAATGGTTGGGTGAAAACAACCACAACAACGTATTGAAAAAAAAATCACAGGCGTTTTATATACATGTTTTTCGTTGCACCTTTGATCACAACCCTGTTACAGTAAGGCACGTCTACCTCATTAATTCAGACATGAACACCAGGTCCCATTTAGTCCTTAAAACACTGATTTTGTCAGCGGCGTTTATGTTTTATTTTATCAGAAAAAAAATGTGTTTAAGCATATGTAATGCTTAAAAACAAAAACAATACTACATATTTTATATTCAAATTTAGTCATGGCTATCAACACAAATGTCAATTACGTGATCGGGCCTGCAATGTAGTAACATTAAAGTCTGGCTCTAGTGTAAAGAATTAATCATCCTTACTCTGAATGGAATGAAATAATCCAATTTAACAGCTGTATAATTTGTGAATGCAAATGAAAGCTCCCAATATTTTTTAGTCTGACATAAACAAATCTGGTATATTACCCTGCAATCACTTTCAATTTTTTCAAAGTAATAATTATATACATTAACATGTGAAATATTAATTGTAATTTTTGGCTGTACAAAATGTTGGCATTAGATTGGGTAAATTGGTTATGAGATTTTCAAAACTGAAAGAATCAAAAAATAATTATACTGTATATAATAGATATTTGTTTTTAATTGCCAGGTAATATACGTTTGGATCATTCATTTAAAAGCTGATAATCAGAATGGCAATGACACTACATTTTGATGAAAAAAAATAAAAACACACAGACATACCCTAACAAGCTGATCCCATGTGATTACAGTACTATCATAAAAACTCTTCAAGAGCTTTGCCATCATCTGGGCAGATCTCTCCCCCATGTCTTCAATTACCATGACTATAGCCTGAAAAAATATTACATGAACGCACTTAAATTACATTTTATTTTTGTGTTGGGCGACAGTTCCTAAAAATTGAATTCACAGTTATCTCTCCCGACTTTGTTCGTGTCTTTAGTAAAAGTGCTACCCACAGAAACCATGTGCCACACGTTTATATAATTAAACAAGAAGACTTCTGGTCTGATACAGACATGTCAGATGAGATAGAATTAAAGAAATTCATTTTGCTATCGCTTTGTCAAGGAGGCCCTGTCAAACACAAGCACCTGCGACCTCAATCAAGGTCCCCCTAATGTTATATTTGTTAGCAAATGAATCGCAGACAGTGGCTTTCGATTGCGTTTGCGGTACACTCACTAAGGGTATTATAAAGGTCAACATTTTGTTCAATACTTAGTAGGATTTGAAATCAGAACCTACATGTACTGATGATCATGGACCCAGTACCACAACCACCATACTACTGGTCATCAGAATTAGATTTCCAGACAGTGCAATTAAAAAATATCTTCCTATATATTAGTGGTATATTTAGCTAAGTGAAAAATTTATGCCACAGCTCCTTCTACAAGAAGCTGTACAATAAACGTGAATTACACAACACCACTTGACATATACTGTGCATAGGGCAAGTGTGCCAGCCATTTGAGCTGTTGTAGGAAACAAAGGATATACATAACAGGAAGCTTAGTTTATAAAGACCAGCTGTACCGTGTAAGGGCATCTATGCGAAAGTTGACCTCATGTCAATACAGGTCATCTAGGTTTCATATTCTATGTATACAGAGCTATAGACTGTAAAGAACTGTATGGCAGACATTTAGCAATATTATGTAACCCCCTACTATGAGTGATGGAGCATGGAGGGATTGATGTGTGGCGCGTAACTCATCCAGAAGTAATATTCTCATTACTAAGTAAATTGTGGGAAAGAAATCGTTTTTGACAGATTTTATTAGCAAAAGGTTTTCATGACTATTGACAACATCACAAAGGTAGATGCTTGTCTGCATGCATGATCAGCCAGCTGACGGTGATCATTGACACCAGGTCATAAAACTAGGGACATGTGTGTACTCTTGTGTTGTTTAGAAAGAGTAGTAAAGCTGCGTGTTGCAATACGCCACAATTCAGAGCGAGTTCAAAGTCACAACCAGTAACTGACACTTTAATAGTTAAGTCATTTAAAGCATGGATCCACAACCCTCTGTATTGCACTAGCATCTCATCAGGGAATTTAATTTAAATGTCCCACCCATCGTGTGTTATAAAGCAAACAAATGTTATCAGATGTGTTAATCATATGTGCTAAGACCTAATGTACATGAATTGTCTGCATTGAAACTGTTATATAACAGTACTATAACAGTTTTATTCAAATAAATCTGTGATTGACGACCATTTTGAAAACTTGCTTAGCTTTTTAAAATTTGCGTGGCTTTTTAAAACATGCCTTTGTCTATTATTCTATAAACATTCATGATTGCATACAACAGAAAAATAAAGTCTGTCCTTTTACACACCAGAAACTGCAGTTATGATGCATGTTTTTTGAAATGATGAGAGCAAATAGGAAATTAGAAATTGTGAAATTTAAACATGAACAAATTTTCCATGATGCCTAGACACAATGGTTAATAACGATATTCAGAACAAAATTATAATTTTGCTTTCAATATTTGATACAAATATTTTCTTAATTTTCAAACAATATTTATGAAAGCACAACATTATTAAAAGGGAAGTAGTCATCTTGAAATGAGCATTTATTTTGCATAAACAGACAATATATTATTCACACGTTATACGTATTATGGGACCAATATCTAACACGATGCAGCATGACGACGATGACCATTTAAAGAGAAACATTTGTTACATGTTCAAATATCATGCAAACAGATACATGATGCATATAAGCCATATATTGAACAACACAACTACGCAACATTACTTTAAATATCTGTGGGGTATAATAAAACTTACCTCATAGACCACTTCATGGTGGAAATGTGGTACTTCTAGTTCTTGTAGGCAGCGTACAGCCTCTTCTGTGTCACCAGAGGAGAGATACTCTTTCAAAAGAAGAACCATCTATACAAATGGTGAAAAGAAATCAAAATTTGAAAAAAAAATTATGAGCTTCAAAAATTACTAATAAATTTCATTGTGTGTGTGTGAGGTGTTCTACATTGTACCTAGAAAAATACTCAAAAGTCAATGGCAGATTTACGTAAGAAAAAGTTGTAGTTGAATTATTTGTTTCTGTAGGATTCAAAAAAAAGAAAATCACAGCAGCCACTATAAAGAACCAGGATGAAAATGACCACGATTTTCACCCAGCTCTCGAATTTCTGAAAATGAAAACTCATCTAATAAAATTAAAGCAATTTTAGAGTATCTATTTCCACAATTACCTTCTTTATTAATGACTTGACTGGTTTTATTCCACCGCTGACACCCCAGACATTATCAAGTCTTACCATACCATGTTTCATACTCAGAAGTACACTTGCCCTATCTAAAGCAGTTCTGCAAAGAGCATGTTTTTTCAACTGCTCAGCACTCATTTCACTACTATCTTCGTCAGATCTGTAATGTAACCGGTGAAATGATTAATCAGTGTCTGTTAAATGTAACTTTAACCGAACAGTTTTATATAAATGGCATTTCAAAAAAATACCATGATACATGTATGGCTATCCTTGGCAATTAACAAACAAACATATCTGAATGTGGACATCTTAAACAGCAACTTGACAAAGTTTGCTAATTTCAGAGAATCACTGATGAAGGAAAACAAAACATGGTTATTTTTTTTTTTAGATCAACTTTGCCGAACACAAGCCACAATGTTAGATCCATTGTTCTCTAAGTTGTTTTGAATAGCCAGCTTACAGTAGAACAGCTGAAAAATGTATGTAGTCATGTACTGCACTTGCTGGATATTCTGGTCTGTGAAGCCTTTTAAGTGATAATGTAATTTCATTACATTCTTTGTTTTTTATTACATAAACTGTTTAATTTTCAATTTGTACAATTCGATGATTGGCATTCACAAGGACAAAATTTTCCCCAAAGTTGTTGAACCTCAGTGTATTCAGGAACCGTGAATGGAAAATCAGGAAAATTGTTTAATGAAATTAGAGACATGTACGATAAACATGTGACCATAAAGGTTGGTGGTAATGTACTGCTAGAGGACGCTGTGTATTAATCCTTAAAGAACTACACAAGAATCTACCCTTACTTGGGCTTCTCTGACTCAGCACTGCCTCTGTGGCTTTGGACAAATTTCGGTGGAAGGCAGTCGTCGGCAACAGCACGTGCTATAAACTGACCAACAACCTACAATAGGATAGAGATAGTATAAAGCAATATTAGACAACAATACTTACACATGCCGAACAGAAAGCCTTAAGGAAATCAAATCCATAGCATACCCTGAGCAGTACTAAAGCGTTATGCATCACACTAAATTACTAAAACATCTTTCTCCCCTGGTGTTCCAGACTAGAGTGTTATGGCAGCTTATTGACCTTTTGTTCAGTGAGGGAATTTATCGAAAAGGTGATTTTACATTGCAAGAAGCTACAGGAATTAGTTAACAGCTTCTTTTCCTGCAATTTAATTTAGCTTATACAATGCATGTACCGTATTACCCCGGGCACGCATCCAGGGGCCTGAACATACAAAATCGGGAAAAAATGGGGGTGGGCACTTACCCGAGGACCACCCCAAAAAAGATTCTAAAAAAGTTGTTTTTGTGATCGTATGATAAGGTCAAATAAAGGAATGCTTTCATACACTTTGTACACGTACTTATTTCTTGATTTATGCGAGGTTTCAATAAACGTGAGCACTTGGTCAAGAACTATGGGAACGCTGAGACACGGGGTTGAATTTCAAGAATAAAACTTGTTTTATGTCAGCGAATGAAGTTGTATTACTCACTTGAAATTGGCTACAAAGTATGGTAAGTATTGTA